ATTTAATTAATAAAAAAACCATCATTCCTTGCGTTAAACGGTGTCCGAAGCTTCCTTTCTCTATGAACTTTCAATTGTGATGCATACTTGATTATAAAAAAGCAGTTCATGGTCTCGATTAAAACTTTTTAAAAATGATAAAAAATTACATTAAAAATGTCAATATGAAAATTTATTGTTGGTTGTAAATAAAACTTTTCCAAAGTAGAAACAATTGCAACAAAATCTGATTGCTGAAGTGAAGAGCACGAAATCGCAAGGCGAAAGGGAAAAATTATAGGTAAACTAATTTAAAATTTTACCAAATTCACTATCATTAAAATAAATGGAAAACATCATTAAGAGGTCACGAATCTCTTCTTTTCTAGGTTATTAGCCGAAATGAGTTTGGCAAGTGCAATTTGACAAATTGGTCAAAATTAAAGGAAAATCAGGTAAAAGTTTATGGTTTGGCGAAAATTGCAGAGGATAAAAGAATGAAGGTAGAATTGTGAAGAAAACTTTAAAAAGTAACTCTTTTGCGGTAAATTCCTCTATGGAGAAGAAAATGTAAGAAATATTTTTATATTTTCGAAAGGTTCAAGTGATGCTTGTGATTTGTGTGTCAAGTTTGTGCGCCGTAAACTTAAGTGCGGTTTTCAATAGCTGCGGGAAAAACGCATGAGTAAACAGTCATATACGAGCACATAAAATATGTAAAACTGTGTCATATTTAATATCCACCTCCGTATGAAATAACAGCAAAACCAAGAAATTTGTCGTTATCTCTTAAGAAGAAATCAAGAAAATATAATAGGTAGGTAAGTAAACTGAGTACAATAATAATATATGGAAAGCCGCAAACTCAAATCGCATTCACAATAAACTTTAAAGATGAAATTGTTGAGTTCATATAAATGCAAAAAAATAAATGTAATAAAAATTATTTAAAAGGCAAAAATAGTTGAAACTGTACATTTTAGTAAGTATTAAAAGAAAAACACAAAAGATTATTAATAAATCAAAATAGGTCTCATCGTTTGTAAAACAAATCCAGAGCTTGAATTCTCCATATTACTAGACTGACTCGGGGTTATATCTTTAACTTCTTTAGCTAAATGTTTGTTATGACCACAATTACACAGAAATCATAGAAAGCCAAGTGGGTACGGTGCTTGTTAGAACACATTAATCGAAATTTTTGCTAAAATTTCTTACACATTAATTTTAATATCTGCTGTATATATAGATAGGTAACAATAGATAATAAACCGCTCTTAAATATCGTACAGAAACAACATAGTATTATCAACTTATAGAAACTGTAGGAATCTTTTTTATGTACGCCTTTATATTAAAAATACTAGATACTTTCAACGTAAAATATATATCCACACTTGCAATAACATATCAAAATCTATTGGAAGGGATTTTAATGACTTTTCTTGATGAGTTTCATCAAAATCAAATTAGTTCAAGATTTTTTCGGTGATATCATATTTGTCAGATTCACTAGTTCCTGAAAATCATTGTAAAAATGAATACACAAAAATAATTACTCTTATAAAATTAATTATTTTAAATAATTACAAATATAATAAAATTATTTCTAAATTTATTGAAATTTTTATTAAAATTGTTCAGAAGTTCAAGGTATAGCATTTGTACGCCATGTAGGAAAGTATATATAGACAACCGTGTAGATCATTTCAATATCAACCTTTAAGGCAACCTGAAATTAAGTTTGTTTACTTTTTTGTGTGTTTAGAATTTTAATTATATTAAGTTTAGCCATCCCCATCTACTGTTAATTGATCGCACACCCCAATTACTTTATAATCTTCTTACTTACTTCAATTTACCAAACTCAAATCATTGCTTTGGGAAATTTTCAACAAAACGAAACAAGAAGGTCTTGGAATAAATGGAAATTATTCGATGTTACTGAAAAGGAATCCAAATGGTTCTAACCCCTGAGTTTTTAGTTATACGGTAAAAAAATGGGCCCATAGAGCTAAGTGGATCCATGGGATCACCGGTTTAACCTAACCAAACTGACTGATAAGGAAATATTGATTTTAATATTCAAACCTATTAGATACAAATTAATACAGTGGGTAGAAGAGTTTTTTTTCGAAGCCAAACTAGAGTCCAAGCGAAAACTTGCAAACTATTGTGTTCAAAGCCGAAAATAGAGCGAATAAATAGGAGATAGGAGACAAAATACAAAAGAAAAAACAAAAAAATTACTATACCACAAATATTTTAGTTTTCATAATGAATATAAGGTTAGGTAAAGAGAGAATATTGACATTATTCACATCCAATAGTCTTATTCTTACTCTTGCAAATTTTGCGCAATAACACAGAAAATAGTTTGATATATCTACATTCTCAAGACAGCATTGACATGTCTGATTGTCGAACTACCACTACGATAGGAAGCATAGGTTAGGTTAGAGTAATGTGGCAGTATAGTGCACTAAAGATCACTTTAATCTAAAAAGGAGAACGTTATCCCTACATCGTCAGACCTTAAGAACAACCTTACAGCATTTCTATGAGAAGTTAGAAGACCTTCGTTCAATTAGAAGTCTATACTTTCTGCCCAATTTTAAAAAGTAAAATTTCTGTCACGTCAGTTAAAAAAGACGTCATAAAGATTTGAAATGTTCTCCTAGCCAATAATAGTGACTGACTTATAAAATGAATTATAGTTTAATGCTCAGCCGCAGGGTCACAGCCCCGATAAAAATTGTTAGAGGGTAAACCAAGTCTTTTTGTTTGTCTTCCTAATACTAAATACCCTGTCAGCACCGACACTGTAGTATCTCATTAATTCGGCTTTATTTGAAGCAGTTGACTAGTAGAAATTTGGTCTTTTTTGGATAAAATTAGGTTTTGTGATCCTAGAAAAATCATTTTTCATAAACTTACACATAGCTAAGTTGCTATAAAACACATATGGTCAACATATATAAATTATATACAAAACATGTATGAATTATTGACTTTGAAATTTTACAACTGAAATTGAGCATTAATAACTAAAACATGACTTTTATGTATTAACAATCAATGTAAATATATAAAGAGATCCAAAAAGCGAAGATCCTATTCCCGATTATGGTTCATTAACTTAAATATAGTTTTTCATAAATATAGCTAAATATTTTATAGTAAATAAATGGAAAGATCTAAATCAAAAATATAGCTTAAACTTTTATAGTAAATAAATGGAAAGATCAAAATCAGGCTTATGACAAATAATAATAAAAAAGGGTATCTTCTTCTTGGCTACAACACATAAAAATTACTGGTTAACCATAAAAATCTGCCCATTAATGAAATTCCTGGAAGTTGATACTTCAGGTTTGGTGTATTTTAAAACAAAAACCTTATAAGATGACCATTATAAACTGAGTGGTCATAAAAAAACAATACACAACTTAATATCATTATCTTGAACAGTCTTACAGAAAGACAGGCATTTCGTTGAATCCAGCTTATTTACAAATTATAAAAATGCATGCAGAATTTAAAAAATAATAATAATATATTGTTTTATAATACATATTGAATTTATTATAAAACATATTGCAATAATTACTTAAAATATTCTGAAAATGTTGAGGCATGTCGACCCATACCGAATATATGTAACGTGCATTAAGAACATTTTTGAGAACTTTTCAATCTACACATACTGATTATGTGATAATTAGGGAATATATAACCTCATTTGATCTGAATAAAATAAAATTTTATTTAGAATTTCTCGTAAAAAACTCAAATAATTATTTTATATATGCAATTTTAATACAGAAAATGAGTTTTTATTATATATTACAGGTAGAATTCGGACTGTTCATAGCTTTAAATCAAAAAAGGATTAATATGTTATAAGTGTATTTTAAAATAATAAAAAAATAAATTCTTTTAGTATATATATTTTTGATTTATTTTTTTATATTAACATAATATATTTCTTTTTTCATGCAGTTTTAACAGCACTTTTTTTCTTCAGATTATTTATTACTACCATTACTGCTATTATTATTGTTTTCGTTGTTGTTGTAATGTATATATACGTGTATGCACAATTATGATTATAAGTAAATATGTTTTTTGAGATAAAAGCTCATTATTTCTAATTTTATTTAAATATTGTATGTGAAATAACTTAAAAATTCCTATCTTAATATTATTAAATTAATTAATAACAAATTTTTAATTTAGATTTAAAAAAAATTGATTAATGTTTTGCTTAAAAGAAAAGATTTTTTCAGTGTATAGACTTATTAATAATGTCAATCAATAATCCTAAAGATATTAATTTCATTTCCGATTATTAATTAAAACAACAACAAGGATCAAAGATATGTTATCCCTAAGTTCAATATATTCAACATTTATTATTTCACGACAAAACATTAATTCACTACTTATTTAAAAATTTATTTATTTAAAATGTTTTATTTATATAAATTATAATATTGTTGAAAGATAGATAAAAGATAAACATTATTACGCTAAATCAAAAATATGTGATAGTATGTTTTGTGCAGGATACGATATCTGTTGCACTTTGTAATAAATATTTTAGCAAATTTTGAAGGTCTAATATATATAGTTGTGGAAATAAACTATTGACAAATATGTGCACTGATAATTAAATTTAAATTACTTAAAATCCAGATTTAGGTACAGCATTTCTGCAACACAGATTTTTTTCATGCAGTCAAAATTACAATATAAAGTCAAGATCGATTCTTTTTATTGACTTGTATGTGTGTGAACCAAAGCGTAAACAGTTCATCAAACTAATACATAGCAGATTTTATCAACATGCTTAAGTGCTAAATATAGATCAGTTCTAAAATGCTTTATAATAGCACTGAAACTAAGTTCCTCTCCAATAGAAATACACATGTGAAGCTTTAATCAATCTTAAACTTTAGCTCTGAAATACATTTCAACTGTGTATAATATAAACAACATAATTGTTCTTTTATATATAGAGCTTTTAATCCAAACAAAGTACCAGTTGAAAATTTTGAAAAGGTTAATGATATGTATCTGTTACATGTACCATATATTAAATTGAAACAAGCTTACGCTATACTTCATCTCATCACTTCGTCTTTATAGTTTCCGTGAAAAAACTAAACAGAAAATAGCTCTAAAGTGGTTAATAATAGCACTAAAATTTAAAATAATTAGTTTTTCATCGTGTTAGTTTATTAACTTTATTATACAGTTTTATAAACAAAACTAGACTAATAAATGTAAAAAATAGGTTAGAAATTACCGAAATTAGTTTATTTTTATTACGATAACCGACAATATAAAATATTTTTGAGAACTGCCAGTTTAAAAATATTTATTTTTGTATTACAATATTTATACATACTGTATAATTGTAAAATAATGTACAAAATAATTTGTATATTACATTGTATATTAGACAATAACGAAACTTTTATTTTTCTTCAAATAACATACTTAATAAAAATAAATAAATTATTCATCGGATAATGATTATAAAGAAGTATAGTCTAGTCTAGAAGAAGACTGGAAGGAAGTACATATTTATTATAGATTAATTTTTGTGAATTAAAATAGTTCAATCAAGTTTAATATTGAATCGATCTTCATCTGACATATTCGTTAGAGTTTGTCTTCAGCAGTCTGGAAAACAAACCTAAAGAGGATGTGTCAAGAAAAAAGACTTTATGAATCTGAGGAACAACTTGTCGAAATTAAAGACAAAGTATTTTAAAGATCTTAACAAATTATTACGTACGATAGTTACAGAAATGTGGGAAAAGCTTTTGAATGGTTGATTTGACTTAAAACAAAAATATGTTGTTAAATAAATGTTGTGTATAATAATATGATTTTATAGGTTATGCTGGTATGCCAAAAAGACCACGGTTAGACCGTTTAAATCCATTGCGATACCAGATCAGAGTCTTACTTTTAATGATAGTATAAATCAGGATGCGCGTATTATTAGCGAATTGTATTAGCATGTGCTCCAGTCCTGTGCAACTGACAGCCCTCAAGTTCTTTTGTCAAGTTTTCGAGAGAGTCAGGCAGTTATGCAAAATATGCTCTAGAATTTGCTTTATGTAATTTTATCAAGCTGTTTATTAAGTGCCGTCCTGTCCTTAAAGAAAAATAATCACTGTCTTTAAGAGCAAGGTTTTGAGGGCGACCATTTTTAAGGTTTTCAGGTATTTATTTTATTTTTATTACTGAAAATTTTATAAGAGTATAAAAGACATTTTGATTTCTAAAAAAATTTTTTTAAGAAGTACACCATGATTAGTTATCCACAGACGTCGAATATTTCAAAATAGCCATGCACTATATAAAGTACCAAATTCTTTATTTTTTATTTCCCTCCTTCTCATCCTACAATTTATCAGCAGTTTTGAAAACCTTTATTCGTGAAATACCATATATGATAATATAAATAACGTAAGCATGCGAACTTATTGGTATATATATTATGTGTAACTATTGTTTAAGAGTAAGCGACACTCTTTAATTATAAATGGAAGTTCGCTTTCTTCACAGGAAGTCCAATCAGTAATTAATGATGGGTAATCTAAAACCTGAACCAACGGCTTTTGAAAGGTAAACTCTCCTTTCTACTGAATTCGCTTCGACTAATCACTAAGCAAATGTTTATGTTTGAAGGTAATTCGAGTTATGACTGTCAGTGCACAGTCATAACTCATAAAAAATGTATTTACAGTGCAAATTCCTGTCAACTTCCTTCCTCTGTGTCGTCTATAAAAATGGTTAGACGTTATTTATTATGATTAAGTATCAATTTGCATAAAAAAAACAGCAATATATCTTTTTTTTCTTCTCATAATATAAACAATATAAACAGAATATTTATTCGTAAGAAACGAGTTAGTATTAATATAAACAAAACAAAAACTTGTCTTGGTTTCAATATAAATATTTATGGAGGGAAAAAATTGAAATTCAGTTAAAAATTAACTTGTTCATTTGTGTTCACGAAGGGAAGCACTCACCTGAGCGATTTTAAATTGTCTTATTGCTTCTGTGTTTGTGCCTTTGCGAATAAATAAAATTGCTTTTGCCGTTTAATTCATTAAATGTGGGTTCGTTTAAAAGCCGTCCGTGTTCCGCTCTCTAGCTCGCAAAAACAAAACGTATTTATTTATACTTTTCTTGTTTATTTTGTGCCAAGTTAATTTAACCTGTTGCTCTTTTGCTCTTAGAACTTTTAATAATCACGCAAAAGCAAAAACAAAAACAAAACAATAGCCGTTTCAATTCTCACTTCGTTTCACATAATTACTTTTCACTGGGCCAAAAACTTTACGCAAAAGCTTGGCTTAAATATTTTGCTTAATGCCGAAAGAGAGGGAGAGATAATAAAATGAGTGTGAGTACGATTACTTCACTGTTTAAATATTTTTTTAATTTTTATTTTAAATTCCTTAAGCAAGATCAACACCTTTATTCTGTTTACTGGTTAAATCAAGTTAGGAATACGCAAGCACAAACGTACATACGTGCAGGAATACACATGCATATGTTGGCAAATGTGTATAAAAATATGCACATACACGTTTGCAGATATGACGCACTGGTGGGCAGCAATTTGCTACACACTATATTATGTTTCTAAGCCAAGCTAATAAAAATTAACAACATAAACCGATAAATTTAGAACGTTGCCTTATTCATATTTTTATTTCTTAACAAATTTGTTGGCAGTATTTTTGCTTTTGTTTATATAAATTGTAATTGTTTTTCTTTTTTTTTTTGGTTAAAAAAGTATTGTTGTGCTTAAGCGGCATATACAAATCAAAAAAAAAATAAAACAATAACAATTCGCATGCAATTGTATTTATGCAACTATGCAAATAATTTTTATTTAATTATTTATAAATAAATTCTTGTGATTTTATTCAACAATTATTTAAACTGTTATTTTTATTAACGCAGTCGTTAAGATGGCCGCAATCAGAAATTAACTTCAGCATAGTTTCATTTCACGTTTACCGCTTTTCTGCTTCAAATTACTACACACTGCACTACAAACTTGTATTTACCTTTCTTTTTTTTATTAGTACATTTACATTATTATGTTATTCATGCTATTTTCTTGCAAATTCTTAAATCATTTATGAAAGCAACACATTTCATTGTTAACTTTTCTATAAATTAAAAATAAAAAACGAAATACCGCTATTTGTTCGTTACGCCTCACTACCGCGCTGCGACAATTTATTCAAATGAAACCGTACACACACATTTCTTTGGCATAACCACAAACCCGCTAAGACGTTAACGAGCACAAATTTGAACGATGACTGAACAAACCAAAATGTTGTGAGAATAGAAATGCCCCAACGAAACGTGATGAACACGAAACAATGGAGCATACTTTGAGCTTTACTAATCACAAGCTTTTTCGTGATAAGTTTATAAAAAAATGTATGAATGAAAATTATTGTCATGAATTAATATAAAATATATATGAATTATGTAAATGTAAAATATATGAACATAAAATATAATTTTAAAATATATAAATAAAAAAAATATAAATAAAAATAATTATTACAACTTAATATAAAATATATGTGAAATATATTAATTAAAAATATATAAACATATAACATATAAATTCAAAGTTTAGAAATTCAAAATAAAGAATATAAAATATATGAATGAAAATTATTGTCATAAATTAATATAAAATGTGTACAAAATATGTAAATGTAAAGTATATAAATTTAAAATATATAAATTTAAAATATTTGCATGAAAATTATTATTTTGATTTAATACAAAATGTATAAAAAATATATAAAAATATGAAATATTTGAATGAAAATTATTGTTGTAAATTAACAGTAGTAGTAGTATTTTAGTTTTATTTTACTTCATCTAAAATATTTTACATTACATAAAAAATTATAGCAATTATATTATATATATAAAGCTTATAACAATGGCATTTTTGCCGTCTGCCGGTTTGTAAACTAATATAAAATATATATCTAAAAATCATAAATATAAAATATAACAATAAAAATTATTAATATCAATTAATATAAAATATATATCAAATATATAAATTAAAAATATATGAACATAAAATATAAACAATTATAATATAAAAATTCAAAATATAAATATATAAAATATATGAACGCAAGTTATTGTAGTGAATTAATTTAGATATATACGAAATATTTGAATGTAAAATATATAAATTTAAAATATATAAATTTAAAATACATAAATATATAAAATATGAATAAAAATTATTGTTATCAATTAATATAAAATTTATATGAAATATATGAATTTAAAATATATGAACATAAAATATAAACAATTATAATATAAAAATTCAAAATATAAATATAAAAAATATATGAACGCAAGTTATTGTAGTGAATTAATTTAGATATATACGAAATATTTGAATGTAAAATATATAAATTTAAAATATATAAATTTAAAATACATAAATATAAAAAATATGAATAAAAATTATTGTTATCAATTAATGTGAAATTTATATGAAATATATGAATATAATAATATATGAAATATATAATATGTCATGAGTTAATATAATATATATGATATATATGAATATAAAATATATGAACATAAAATATACGAATGAAAATCATTGCCGTGAATTAATATAAAATATATACGAAATATATGAATTAAAAATATATAAACATAAGATATGTCAATTTAAAATATATGAATATGGATTATATAAATATGATATATATAAATTCAAAATATAAAATATATTGTCGTGAAATAATATAAAATATATATAAAATACATGTATGTAAAATATAAGACAAAAATTTTTGTTATCAATTAATATATTCAATATATAAATGTAAAATATATTTTTTAAAACTAATTTTAAAAGTTTTTTTTGTTATTTAACATTGACCAATTAGTCCGTTAAAAAATATATAACTGTAAAATAGAATCAAACTTTCATAACTTGAAAGTTATGGAGACTTCGAGTTAAAGAGTTTTTTTGTAATTGTATGTAATTTGTTCACTAAATCCTTTCGCACTCTATTTAGTTGGAGTTATAGAAAATTCGAGTT